CCGGCCGCAGGGCAGCACCCAGGGGTCCCCCTGGAGTGGAAGCTGCCCCAGCCAAAGCAGGATCAGTGCTTTTCCCATTTCCTGTCCCAAACTCCCAGCCCCAGTGGCCAGCTTCTCCCAGAGAAAAGACTTCAAGGCCCGGGACAGAGAGTGGGGCGGGAAGAGGGGCTCATGGACCTCTCTGGGCTGTTATGACAACTCCCTGCGCCTCTAATTATTTCAAAGTAAAATGGTAAATGAAAGTTAGGCTAGGGCCAGCCCATGGCCTGGTGGCTAAGGCAGCCAGATCTCACGTTGCTGGCCATGTGGTTCGAGTCCCAGACCGGTGGCTTGAGAAACACCCCAGGGGTGTGTGTGCATGTGTACCCAAGGTCCCATAAGGAGGGAGAGATGGAGGAGAAGGGATTGCAGCGTGGCCATTCCCCATGGGAGCGATTTCTCCCTCTCTCTCTCTCTGTCTTTCTCTCTCTCTCTCATCTCTGTCTCTCCATGGAGCAATCACACTCTGTCAAAAAACAAAAAAAAAAAAAATTTTTATTTAATTTTTTAAAAGATGAAGGAAATCAGGGGCCGGAAGGTGGCATGGTAGTTAAGGGCACTGGACTCCCACATGGACGACCATGGTTCTAGTCCCAGACCTGGCTTTCTCACTTTCTCTCTCTCTCTCACTCTATCCTTCTCTGGTCAAATTAAAGTGAATAAATAAACACATAGATAAAGTTAAATAAAATAATTTTTTTAAAAAAAAAAGATGAAGGAAATCAGACAAGACTCAAAGGGTGACGTTTTTTAGACGAAATGCCAAGTAGACAGCACACAGTCAGAGGTGCCACAGGCTGGGAGGCAGGGGAGGTGGGGGAGGCAAGGCTAATAGGCACCTTGGTCTCCTTTTGGGGACATGAAAAACCCGTGCAACGAGACAGCGGTGGGGGCAGCACCCCCTGGGGCAGGTACCAAGTGCCACCGTCTGTATTTAAATGGTTCATCTTGTGTTTTGTGAATTTCACCTCCAGATTTTTTTTTTTTTTTTGAGAGGTTTTGCTATAGGGCACGTGCGCTCGCCAGACAGACAGAGACAGACAGAGAGACAGAAAGCGAGAAATCACCCCCCAGGAGGGATGACCATGCCGCAATCCCTTCTCCTCCGTTCTCCTCTCGGGATCTTGGGCACGCACGCACACGCGCCCGGCGTGAGTTTAAGCCACTGGGTCTAGGACTCGAACCGCAGTCGATTACGTGAGAGTCCAGCGACATAGCCTTTACGCTAACTGCTGGTCCCTCCAGATATTATTATTTAAAAGGGGTAGGGGAATAACAAACAGCCCCCACTTACCCACAAAAAAAAAAAAAAAAAAAAAGAGGCCAAGACCAGGGCTGGCAGGAGGTGTGGTGTTTAAAGCACTGGACTCCCACATGATTGACTGTGGTTCAAGTACCGGACCAGGTGGCTTGCTTTCTCACTTTCCCTCTTGCTCTCTCTGGTCAAATTAAACAATAATAATGATGATGATGATGATGATGAATAAAAATTAAATAACATAGTTCTTAAAAAAAAAAAAAAAAAAAGGCCAAGACCAGGGAGGCTCCCACCCCCATGGCACCCCCTCCCAGTACCAATCCACTCCCCACTGTGGGCTGCCCCCCCACATACATGGGTATCCTCAGGCCTGACTCCAGCTGGGGTGGAGGTGAGCAGAGGCCCAGAGGTGAGAGGTCAGAGGGCACAGGCAGAGGGTCCTAAGCACCCAGAGGCAGGGGAGGTAGGGCCCTCCTGAGGGAACATTCCCGGATGGACAAAGGGAGGCCTGTGAGGGGTCAGTGGCCCCCGTGTCCAGGTGCGGGCCGCAGACAGGGGGTGTGGTCCTGTGGCCTGAGACACAATGGGCCGGCGGAGGACAAGGACAGGGCAGGATCCTGGCCTGGGACACGGCCTGGCTCTGTGATGACAGTCCTACTAGCCCGGGAGGAATTCTCACCCAGGGGCCCGAGATTCCGAGATTCCGGAGCCTGGCCAGCAACAGCTGGTGGGTGGCATGAGGTCAGGGCACCGCCCTGGGGCTGGCCTAGGGGCGGGGCCTGAAGCCCACCCTGCGGGAGGACAGCTGAGCTGGGGACCCACAGTCCTCACAATCTTTGTGATGGTATAGACATTACTGATGGGGCCGGCAGGTGGCATGGTGGTTAAGGGCGCTAGACTCCCATGTGGCCAACCGCGGTTCAAGTCCCAGACCTGGCAGCTTGCTTTCTCACTTTCCCTTTCGCTCTCTGTCTCTCCCTGTCCCTCTCTGGTCAAATTAAAATAAATAAACTTAAATCAAATAATTATTTTTAAAAAGACATTACTGATGGGG